CTTCTTCGAACAGTGTTTTTTTTTTCCTCAAGTTTATGAACTTTTACTTAAGTCTAGCATGCGAGTTGTTTTCCACCTCTGCTGAAATATTCCCTCGAACCGAACGAATGTTGTTCTTTAGGTGAGGGTGGCCACAGAGGGCATCAACGGAACAGTGGGGGGCACCTGTGTCGCCACTGAGGTTTATGTGGACGCAATGTGCTCGCATCCTCTTTTCCAGATGGAAAAAGAGGATTTTAAGGTATGGTATTAAGCCAAAAACAACATCAAACATACACACATGGTCTGTTATGCTGTCCTGTCTGCTGCCTAAATGGAAATCAGCTGTCTGGAAGTTGATACCGCATGAAATCCTTAACTGAATCGAAAGTTAATTGTGAAAAGTTCATCGAATCGAATCTGTTTCTATTTTGGAAATCCGAAACAGTACCCCAAATTGCTCTAAAATTTCTCTCTATAGGATGAAAATTGACCAAGTACTTCTTTGGTTAATGAACTACCTTCTCTGTGTGTGCGTGTTTCCCTGTGTGTGATCAGACAAGTGATGGCGGTCCTGAGTGTTTCACCGATCTGAAGGTGGGTGTCTTTGAGGAAATCGTCCCGATCGGATTAGACCCTGACGTCCTCTCCTACCACCTGGCAGGTACCGCTAACGTGATGCCAGGTTGGCATGGCAACCAGAGATGTAACCGTATATGAAGATTACCTGCTTTACATCTTCAGTTATAAACACCAATTCCAATGAAGTTGGGACATTGTGTAAAATGCAAATAAAAATAGCATGCAATGATCTGCATATCCTTTTTAAACTATATTGAATAGAATACGCTGACGACGACAGGATATTTAATGTTTTAAATAATGTTTTAATCAACCAGTCCTAGGGAGAAAAAAAATCACTAATTGTTATGAATACCCTGGTCTAAAAACCTGTACAAAAAAATTGAGAGAACTGGTTCTCATTTGCAATGCCGTCCTGGCTGCAGACAGCAATTGATGATGAAAAGGGACAAAGCTGTCTTTTTTTTGTTGTTGTTTTTCTTTCCCCCAGACTTGTATAAAGCGTTTTGGTCATGTCTTGCTGCTCAGGAGTCCATCTGGACCCTGAGGAGTTTCACAAAGAGGTGGC